TTTGTATTATAGTACATAATCACACCGCCACCCCTTCCGGTTCTATCGGTCCGCAGCAGCGACATCCCGAGTAAATTGATCTCACAGTCGGCTATCTCAGGGTTTAACCATGTCTCTGTAATCATGACGAGGTCCCGCGGTTGGGAGGCATGGAGTTCTCTAATTTCGGCCAACTTGCTTCGAAGGCCTTGAGCGTTTGTGTACATGCAAGATAGGGCTTTGCTTGTTGGGAGTCCATTGATAGATGAAAAGTTAGTGCTGGTTTTTAAGCTTTTTAAGCCGGCCGTTAGGTGGTCGGCCATTAATCGTTATTTTTTGTTTGTGTATTTGGTCGTGTTGCATGACATTATTGGGCGTTCCTGAACAGACGGTTCACTCGTGCTATGCTGGGTCCTCCTATGTGCCGTGGGCGCTGTTGTGTCGGTCTCTCCGAAGGACTGTGCAAATAAAGAATTTGCAGCTTTCGCAAGTTCCATCGAATTTCTTCCGACGATAAGGGATGCAGCATGGCGTGCCTACAAGATTAACACTGACTCAGAGACTTGGGGAAATTTTCTGACCCATCGCAACCATTGCATTGCGCTTGTCCGTGAAGACAAAGTAACTTATCAACAGTGCCTAGCCAAAAAGTTCATGGCAAACAACAAACTGCTATATAAGCATGTCAATAAGCTTCGTAAAGTAAAGCATGGAATACCCCCACTATTCACGGCAGGCGGTAGAGTACAAAGCGCCGAAGAAGCAGCTAATGCCCTGCGGCTGCAATACGCCCCAATTTTTGAACTCGCAACATCTACCTGTCCCATAATATCAAGCACATTACCGTCACCTTTGTTTACAAACTTTATTTTCAACCCAGCAATTGTGCCAAGGGAGTTAGTCTCACTGCGTGAGCATAGTTCTCCAGGAGCAGACAACATCCGCCCGAAAGCACTGAAGGCTGTGGCCAACAAGCTAGCTGAACCACTGTCACAGTTCTTTCAAACGTGCTTTGATGAAAAACAAGTCCCCACTATGTGAAAGTGTGGCATTACAACCCCTATTTTTAAAGGCGGTAGCCGTTCCGATCCTGCAGACTATCGTCCAGTGACTCTCCTCCCTGTGCTCGCGAATGTGATGTAAGCAATCGTGGCTGAGGCTTTAATGGACTACCTGGTAAATGTAACATTTTGGTACCGGAACCGCATGGCTTCCGTCAACACCGGTCATGCACCACCAACCTACTTATTGCACGAGGTAGTTGGACGGAAGTGGCCGATGATGGGGTCGGAGTCGACGTCATCTATCTGGACTTCTCCAAAGCTTTCGACCGCCTTGATCACCGCATTCTGCTTCAAATACTACAAAGTTACGGAATCGGAGATCCTGTACTTGGTTGGATTGGCAACTTCCTTTACCAACGAAAGCTCCAAGTACGTGTTAGGGGATCACTTTCTAACCCAATTGAGGTGGAATGTGGTGTCCCACAAGGCTCAGTGCTGGGACCGCGTTTATTCCTGGTGTTTATCAACGACCTGGCGAGAGTCATCTCCTCAAATTTCCTGCTTTTCGCCGATGACATCAAGATATGACGGGCGATTAGTAACAAGCCAGATCAGGATCTGCTCCAACATGACCTAGATTGCATTTACGAATGGCCAAAGAAGAACAAGCCTCAATTGAACACGGCTAAGTGCAAAGTGATGCATCGGCGTAACCAGCTGTGAGCGCTTACAAGATCGGAGACCACACCTTGGCGAAAGTTTATCAGGAGCGTGACCTGGGTGTATTTGAACAGGAAGAGCTCGGGTGTTCCAAACAAGCAGAGAAGGTGAGGAGAACCGGAAATCAACACTTCGGCCTTCTTCGCAGAGCCTTCGGTCGGTTTGAACCCTCAATCTTTCCCCAAATGCTTAACGCCTACGTGCGACCTGACGTGGAATATGTTATTCAGGCGTGGCAGCCGTGGCAGAAACAGGATCTCGTTGCTCTCGAGACTCCTCAACGACGGGCAACGAATAACGTCAGGGGCCTCTTTCATCTGCTCTGTCAGCTTAGACTGAAATCTCTAAGAATGTACAGTAGTCGATATCGGCTTTGGCAGGGGGATCTCATAATGGTTTACCAGATTCTGAAGAACCCAAACCACATTTGCCGTCCGCTGCTGGAATTGAACCACAACACTAAACTAAGAGGTTACCCTCTGCAAATGACAATTCATTATAGTTGGCTTGAATGCCGTAGAAATTTATTTTCTCTCCGCGTGTGCCAGCCTTGGAACGCCCTCCCTAATTATGTCGTCTCTGCTCCCAATCTGGCGATATTTAAAAAACGTGTTGACGATGAATAGTCTCACTTACATTCCATTTTGTGACTTGTTAGCCAGGGGCTACAAAACGCAATCAAACGGTGTCTTGCCAAACGCCTAACCAATGGATTGATGGATTTATACATTTAATACCCGAACATCTCCGCTATTCCACATAAGTCTATGGTGAGTCCACCACAAGGCTTTTCACTTTATTATGCAACTAATTTTCTCAATAATTTCCACCCCACGGGACTTGTTAAGTGATGCTTTTTAACCCGTACTAAACCATTGTTCCATTGTTTTGGTCGTTCGCCTGCTGCCTTTAGCCGTATATTGTTGGCAACATAGCTCGAAACTATAACCAGCTATCTAACAGAACTTGCGTCATTCCCTCGGAGTGTAGTATTACCTTCATTAGTCTTGGACCGCAGCCCATGTAGTTAGGTGATAACGGAACTCTTGTCAGGGATTTGGCAATAACATTGTTAACAGAGAGTGCGTCGGGGATGTAGCACCACTGCTCTCAGTCATGTGTTTGTGCATCGTGATCGCAAGAATGCAGGAGCTCGGGAACACCATGAACAAATATTGTTTTATTGCTATCCCTATTAGCAATACCGCGTTGCTCCACTGCTTCTTTTGCGCGGTCTTTCCAAGGTAGATCAGGTAATATGCGCACTCCGCTTGGTGAGTTGCGAAGACGAACTGCTGAGAGCAGGACAGACCCTGTCTCATCTGCTGAGTTTAGTGTTACTCGAAGAATCCGTGGTTCACCTGAGTGCACTGAAGTCGGGTGACGCGCCACGCGTTGCAGCATTGCAGGCTCAACCCGAATGCCAATCGCTTCGCAGATGGAACTCCACTGGGTGCGATCGTCTTGCAACTTGCCTTTTATCGTGCCTGATTTGGATTCGGAAACATTGGTGCACACGAGAGTTAACGCAGCGGGCTTTTGTCTATCGAGTGTTGGCTTTATACTTTTCGCCGGCAATTCAGATTGTTTAGAGGGCACCACTGGATTTGATGGTGAAAGCTGCTTTGTGCCAAGTGTGCTGGGTACTGAAGATGGACCAATGTGTGTCCCTCCCGGTGTGTTTGTCGAGGCAATCGATGCGTAGGTTACCTGTTTGTTATCTGCACCGGATTTCCTTCGGCTCTGAGCTGTCGGTGTCACGGCTGGTTCTCCAAGTGAGGCGTCTATGGTTGGAGAAGTGGAAGCAGGCATGTTTGAGGCCTGCCCACTTATGGGCTTGAGGTGACCTATTGGGTTTAGAGTCACAGATGCTGCAGTGCGGTTGGATCGTCTAGCTGTTTCCTTCGGTTTAGACTCAGAGCTAACTTTGACCGGGTGAGGTATTCTCGTGGCCATATTTACCTCCGAGGGAACGACCTTAGTATTTACAAATTGCGCGATTATTTCAGTCATCCTATCGCATTTGTTCATGAGCAATGATAAACAGTTGACAACTGGAATGACTTGACATGTTGGCCTAAACCAAATTTTGTCAGAGACTTGGTTTGTCTGTCTTATTTCTTGGGCTGATTTACCTGCACATTGCGGACAGTACGATCTAATGCAGCTAGAACATGTAATATTGATCTTAAGCACTTTACTGCAGTTGTCTGCACAACATAGGTGACGATGAACCATAGGAACAGGATCAATATTCCCTTTGAATGGCACGAATGAATGCATAAGAGCTTTGTATCGCTAAGCACGAAATTCTGGTCTCCAATATTGTATGAAATTTTTGGGAATATATTACTTCAGGCTGCGTTGCTTTCCGAAGGGGTTCATTCGCTTGTCAACATACAACGTTGGTTCCTTAAGGAGACTTCAGTAGGGGATATGCAATGATTGGTCTGAGTTTGAGAATTTTCCATTCGTTGTCACCTTCCATACTAAGGTAATCACTAAAGTGCGGAAGTCTTCTACTTTATTTCCACCTGTATCTGGACATCACAGTGACCACCTACGCTATTCGGCATTTCCGTGACCAGTAAATTCTCGGGCGGGACTAATGTAAAACGCTGAGGAACATCACCGTATATCAGCAAACCGTCCCAGTTCAGTTCCGTCTGATTGCAGGGCCCAGTATGGGTTGATTTGTGTGCCATTTAGATTATCTCTTAACAAATCTATCAAGTTCAGGATATAACTCTTCGAAATATTGAGTGGGTATTCTGATTCCATCAGAAGCAAGGAAGGCAGCTTGCAAACTGGTATGTCTTTGGCACAGATCTGAGGCGGTACTTTTTCCCAAATAATGCAAGGGCTTCTTGTAAATGAACGTGCCATGGACGTGTGTTTTCCGCCTTCCTAATACCCCTGCCGCCTCCTTAGGGACATAGAATTCTGTAGAAATGCAAATAACCAAAACCACCATATCGAAGGACAAATTTTATAGGCGTAATCTTGTTTACTTTGCCTTTGGTTGGTTTCGACCGGCGATAATCAAACACTCAGTAAGCTGAGCAGTCTGTAGCAAGGTAAGCAAAACCCGAACAACTTCAACCAAACTACTCATTGCAGGTTAATGTAAGGTCAACCTTTTTGTAATTACAACAAAAGCCCTTAAGGTGATATGCGATGTCATAACAACTCGCTGTTTCCATGACTTCAATGAACCTATTGTTTACGTAAAACTATAAAAGCATAGCCTCACCAGCAAGGCACCACCAATTCGGGATCCAACGTGCCTTCAGAATAATGAGAGGTGCCCTCTTTGTTTTCGCTATTCTTTGCATTGTGCAAGCATTGAAGAGTAAGTTGTTGTCGTAAAGAATTTCTGATATATACATAAACAGAGTAAGGTTTTACAGTGAACACATTGTCTAGAAAATGCCTTCAGCGATGTCGGTACTGTTTTTTAATGGACGTCTCATTAGCGTTCATAGTTTCTTTTAATCGCATACTGATAGTGGTATAGATAAGATAAGCGGTGTATTTTGAAGTCCCATTGGTTAGCATTTTCTCTTGGCACATTTGTCAGTTCTAGTCACAAACGGATCTGAACTGTACGAGACACTTCATGCTACTTTTCTTTACAACACGAGTTCCGTGCAAAAGCAGCCATGTTTAGCCAATTGGTAACGGCACAGAGAAAAGCGTTCATAATATGTAAATGCTTCGATTCTTACCACAGAATGAATGCTTGTCTTGCGTTTGTGACGGTTGAGAACTGAGATGCTGACATACTGCAGCCTATGTTATCTTTCTGAACGACAAATTACTAGACACGCTGGTCACTTCTATCGTAATATTGTTGATATTACTTAGACCAAAAGCATGATATTGAATTATAAGCGGTAGAACATTTGATAGAGAACCGATTGCTGGCTGATTTCTCGAATGATAAAAGCCAACTATAACGTCCTTCTTGTACAACCATGGCCGTGCTTTTGACAAATGTGGTTTGTGGGTAGAACTGGCCATAAATTTAACCGTCATGAACATCTGCCTGTTGCCTGTCAGAGGAAACTGATTTAAACTCTATGCGTTAACGTTTCCCACTAGTTATGATCTGATACACAAAAGATATGCATGACAGTAGGACAACAGTTGAGCAAACATGGACATGCGAAAGGTGCACATTGGCAAATGGATTGAAATTATATGCTTATAGGAAGTCACCCAATAATCTGTGTGCTGAACTGTGACGGCCTGTGGATTATTTTGGATACCTATTAAGAAAGGCCAACTCCGTATTTGTGAGTTGCTTAGAGCTCTGCACTTAGCTAGAAGTGTGCCTTGGATTATGTACGTGTGTATAAACATGTATCTCCTTGAGCACTGAAAACTTGCGTGTGACTTGGACGGACCATCCTTCAGAAAGCCGGTTACTTTTACGCATGATGTGCGTTGTGCGGTTAGCTAAGTTTCTGGCTTGTAGATGCGTTCTGCAGGACCGCGTCGAGGAGAAAGTTCGCGTAGGATTAAAATACTTTTGAATGAAAATGTCTAAAATAAATACCGGGCAGCAAATGAAAGAACGGGCTGTGCCCTCATTTCCGATCCTCTAATTTTCATATCACAAGAAGCGCAATACACCTTGCTGAATACAAAATGAAGAGGTTTAGTAAAGTCACGTAGACAATATTTGCGAGCGCTCTCATTAACTCCTACCACTAATCTTCCTTAATTTTAGGTGCGTCAGGCCAGGGGTCAAGTGAGTCACACATGCGGCTACTTTTCACTCCTAATAAAATATTTGTTTCCTTCATACAGTCTTATTCACAATGATTGTTAATAAAATAACATGTGTGGTGAATTCAAGTGAACTGACCATTCATAACCAACATTTTCTCAGTTGGTTTGCACTGAATTTACCAACATTAACTACAGCTCTACGCCGATCATCCGCATGGTTTTTAGACATACAGACCACTAGGATATACTAACGGTTAAGTTGTTGTGACGAACGTCAACAGATGTATGCGTCGATTATTGGGTTTGCCTCCTACCAGCTCCCGCCACCTGGCTGCCAGTACTCCTGCATTGATAATGGCACTTAGATTGGTGATGAAACATCTGCAATTAGGTTGCCAAGCTTAGTGAACACCAGAACAAGTGTACACTCCACCAGTCTTCCAAGTAATTTCGATGTGTTGCGGAAGAGCACATAATGCATTTTCCAAAGCAGAGGATGAAAGGGCTAATCCAGATTAGCTCATTACATTGGAAATACATTTGGCGAGCAGAATGTTAACAGCGATGTATTAGCAGTCGCACTTTCCGTGAAGCCATTAGGAAGTATGATCACGCAGACAGGGAGCTAATTAGTAATCGAAATTTTAATCATCGACGACATCGTTTCTCATTTACACACTTTTCTCTAGAGACTAAAATGCAATATAAACAGCTTTGACAAACACAGGTCGCCCAGTTAACTAACTTGTGTTTAAACATCAAAGTAATAACCGCACTCCACCAAATGGAACACTGAACTTAAATATCTCCCTTCGGAATGTTCGTATGCATGGCGAAACAGTTGTGGTGTTCTGGTACGAAATAGTGCAGTTCAACCACTTAGTTTGGTTTGCTGAACAGTCCCAGTACTCTTAAATGCTGACGACAGTTTCGATAGAGTTTATTATTCAACTTTCCTTACACCGAACCTACTGGCACGCCCAAAGATGTATCCATCATTTCCGTGAACCTTAAGTGGTGGTTCATGTGCGCTAAACATAGTTTACTAGAAATTTAAACAATCACAACTGCATTATCCGTCGTTTACATTGTAGTTTCATTCATGGGCCTCGAGGTGGAACTTATCAATTCCATCACAGACAAACCTAACTTTAAACTGCATAGTCAAATTCCGTAGACGCATGAAGCGTTTATAGTGTCAGAAAGTAATTTTCCTACCGTTGAACCAACGGTGGAAATTGCGATCCACTGGTGGATAACTAAATTTCACTTTAAAAACATGTTGAAAAAAGTTATTTATCCAGTAAGCGTCGGGTAAGTTTCCCTTAGACTTCGATTCTTCAGGGACAAACGGTTCGTTCGAAAAATCAGTCTTACAAAGTGACAAAATAACCAGCATGATTCCATAGATAACGACCCAAATTTATTCATGAGTTACATCCCTTTGTTCAAGCAGGCAAACTCATTCCAACGCAGCAAAGTATTGATCAATCAGTGCTAAGGCCTAGATGCGTTGGGCGTCCAACTATCTGCAACAATTGCTTGCGGCAAACGAGCCGCTTGCTTCCTCAAGTTGGTTTGTGCAAGCACTTTTCGAGCCTAGCACGGCCACGAGGACCGCGCACTAAGTCCCTTCCAACAACGACCCACTGTCTCCTGGAGCCAGTATAAACGAGGTAGTGGGTAATAGATAGGTAGGCACCTTGTCAACATGTACGTCAATCGCAGCCACTCCGGGATATCAATCAACAGCCAGTCACCTGAACTAACATTATCAAATTAAGTAGATAGATTAAAGCATGCGGCTATGCCGAAATAACTCTTCGCTAAATAACGCGTGAAGTAAGTTGGTTGGCAACGAATCCATGATAAGCGCAAAATGTCCACAAATTATTCAAAAATCCTAGAGACGCAATAGGGTTAACGAAGATAACCACAACTGGAGTAAGTGACGTGTCCAGTTAAAAGAAGATTACCCAGGTGGGCAGAACAAACCAAATAAAGTGGAATGCAATTCATCCAGCCTAAAACGACTTCGTTTAAGTGTAAGTTGGTTCAACCCAACTACGGTGAACAAGCATTATGAAAGCAACACACACATATACATGAAAAAGCTAGGACGATTTCCGGAAGCTGACCGTGGATGAAATGTCTAATAGACAAGCGTTTAGCCATAGGCAGTGAGTCATGTTAGATTGTGCAACTCGGATTTGAAATCCACTAAGGTGGGAACACCGTGACATGTTCCGACAAGGCATTCCACGTTTAGCAAACGCGTTCAAATAGAAATTTTGACGGCATTCTAAAAGACTCTACCATTCTGCCGATTGGCATGACCTCTCAGATTACTGTGGTGACCGTTCTAGGACAGCTCGTGTGGGTGGAATCCCTGAGAATTTGATAAGTCGCAAAAGGTTCCCCACGCAATCGGCGGTTTTGTGCAGTGAAGTTTTCGAGCAATCGTAACCATTGTTCAAACGGCAAATGATACAAAGTTTGCCATTCTAGGTTGCCCGAAGTTGAGTCATGTTCTAGCAGGTAAGGAAAATCCCTCGACCATGCTGCCAAGCCTATACGGCGTATTCCACCTCCGGGCGTAGTTACGAGCAGAAACTCGATTGAATGCGCACTATAGGCGTCATAGATATTTGCTGTTTCTTGCTGTCGTCTTTTTAGTGTGACTCGAACATCCATGTTCTGTCCGGACAAAAACACCCAGATCCTTTTTAGACGATATTTGAAATTCCTGGTTGCTTCGTAGTTAGGAGCGCGCTTGCTGGTGACGTAAGCGCAACACTCCACATTTATCCACCTTGAATTGAACGCAATTCTGAATTGCTCAGGCGTAACCTGTATCTGGATCGGCCTGCAGCAGAGTAATATCAGCGTGTGTATTGATCACCCTACTCAGATTGATGACATTGGCATACAGTAGACGGCTGGAGCTTATGAGGTGAGTCATATTGTTGATATACCGAGAGAAACCATGACCACAGTACCGATCTCCATGATACTCCACATTTAACTTGGGTGAGAGCTGACAGGGATTAACGCGTTCTTGCCTCCAAGCGGTGGTGTGGGAGAAAGTTTCTGAGCATCCATTTGAGAGGATTACCAGTACCAAAGATTTGGAATTTGCTGAGCAGAATGTCATGATCTAACCAGTCGAATGCCATTGAGAAGTTGAGAAAAGCTACCGCAACTCCTGCGCCACTATCTACTGCTTCAGTCTAGCTGGATCGTGCTAGCAGTGGACTTATAAGGCATGATGGATTTCGTCGGAAGCCACGATGTTCCATTGTAAGGTACGTTAGTTCTTCCCATTGGGCTGTTAGCGAATCGACAATAATGGCTTCCATGACTTTCAAAAGTACCAGTAGTAACGTTACGGGACGGTAGTAAGCTGGATCGGGAAGGCCACCACCCTTGTGAATAAGAGTAAACTACGTTTTTCCACACCTCGGACACGTAAGTTTCACCAAGTGTGTTGGGAGAATCGAGCCGTTGGCTCAAACAGGCTCTCCCACCGCCGCGAGACTTCGGGTGAATGTTACCAAGTCCAGGAGAGCTCTGCTTGTTCATACTCAACAGCCTTTTTAGTGCAGTGTCTGCCGTGAATGATATATGTGTGAGTATTGTGGTTGAGACAACCCTTGTCATAGAGTTTGAAACATACTGCTGGCGTAGTGTATTCACCGCATACTTGGGAATCTGTGTCAGTTGCTCTTTTGTATGAAGAGGAGAAATTCACTGTTTCAACTTACGTAGACTTAGTGAACAGTTCTTCAACCGCTTGTGCTTTGAGACTATATGCACAATCAATGTTTGCTAATAAGTCTTTATATCCTCGGGAAGCATTTGACCACAATGGTTATGTTTGTCCCGTAGGCCATCCAGTTCTCGGTGATCAGGCAGAATTTACATGTATACCAGGCAGAGTTTCGCACCGCTATACACAAAGGAGACCAAGTTCCTTGAGTGGACGGCATTAGTTTCTTGTACTTCTGTAATCAGAGACTTTAACTGACGAACTGTTGTCATGTGTTAGCCAGTGCATCGTCTGCCAGAATGGTGTAGTTACTTGACGTATCTTGTCCCGCTAAGATGTCGTGGCATAGAATCGTTATCATTATGTCCGCATTTTCCACGGGATAGTTGGCATAACAGACATATTCCATGAGTAGGATTACAGGGTCGTTGCGACCCAAGGGAAAGTCGATGATCACCCCTCGATCATCATTATATCGTTGGTGAATATCCGCTTCAATATATGCGGTGTAGCAGTTTCTCTGCATCTGTTGAGATTGCTGATCTGGCCGTATATCGGCAAACCGGAAACAGCTTCTTGTAAATCCACCTTGGGCTGTTCTCCAGGAACGGCTTGGGATTCCATAGAGTGCATAAAGAGGTAGCCAGTAATAAGGATTTGGCCGTGCTACTTGTTTATCACCCGCCTTAGTTCGGATGCCAGATACGATTCCATCTCTTGCGTCGAGGAATGAGGCGTGGAGCAATGAAACTGGACCTTACCGTGTTGCCATGGTCTGCGTGCCTCAGAGATTTATTGAGCTATGCTGAATGGTGCTAATTTTGAACCTTCAGAGCCACTCATACCAGATTGGTTCCATGGGTAGAGGCCAGACAAACGCAGCCTTCTGATGCTCCAGGTTGGAGGTTGGAATGAGGGTGGCTCCTTATTTCATAAAACGGGCTATCTCTAGTGCAGTGCGAAAACCCGCTGCCTTGCGGTAAGGTTTTTGAACCAAAGGCTTTAATTGAGAACTCTAATTGTTATCCTGTCTAGGCCTGTGCAATCTGGCAGTATACAGCCCACGCAATGCAATGAACCCTTCAGCAAACAATTACTTGATGCTCCGGCTTCACTGAGGACAATAAACGTCTTGCTATCTGCTGCATCGGGCAGGGTAGATAGGGGTATGGATGCAACTGCTCAGGTCTTCTCGTCTTCTTATACTCCTCGCTTTTTTCATCCTTATCGTACCGCTACAAATTTGCTTTGCAGCCCCCGCTTTCAATCCATCAATTGTTGGCCTTCCCCAGCTTAATTCAATAGATTCTTGTCTGCTAGTTTCAAACTACACACAGTCGCAGGACGTCGCTCTAATCCAGTCTACTAATCCATGTTCAACCAAGCCGTGAAAGCCCGTTCATCCGTTTCGCTTCAGAGTTCACACGTCTCCATAAAACTGGCATGCCTTAACGGTCGCACTTTGCTAGTGAATGGCCAACAAGCAGCACTTGCCCGCACAATAGGGACACTATCGATGAATATTTGCTGCTTAACAGAAACCCGCCTGCGAGATTCGAGCTTCGTGGTTAACCTGCGATCACCCACTTGCGACACTGGCGGTACATTCTCATTGCGCCTGTGTGGCGATGATGCAGCTTCAAATGCCGGTTAAACTGGCTTCGGCATTGTTTTGAGTCCCTGGGCTGAAACGGTCATGATCGATTTGATCCCAGTAAACAGTAGGATATGTGCCCTTAGATTAGCTGCTTCGTTCCGTGCTGCGAAGTCGCGCGGGGACAAACGGTGCCCGTTTGTCATCGCTCCATACGCCCCTACAATTTGTAGCACTGATTCGGTAAAAGATGATTTCTATCAGCAACTTCACGAGCTCCTTCGTTACAGAAGAAGCACGGATACTGGGGTGTTGGCTGGCGATCTCAACGCCCAAGTCGAAATATTGTCCTCTGATGAGCTTCATCTGGGCGGATAACATGGTGTAGGCTCCCGTAATTATAATGGTTAGCGATTGCTCCAGCTGTGTGACGATGCTCCCCTCTTTCTCGCGAGCACCAACTTTCGACAAAGCACCCGCAGAAGCGGGACTTGCAGGCCACCAGCCTTGGGCCAACCATGGACGTAAATCGCTCATGGCGCGATCAGTTACCGCTGGAGAGGCTGTGTTCAAAATTGTCTCTCGATTTGGAGCACCAGCGTGGAATCTGACCACGCACTTGCCTGTGCCGACCTTCGGGTGCGTTTCGATGGACGTCCGCAACGTCGAGGTGAACGGATTAACACCAGTCAGCTGGCGAACTCATGGAAACAGCGTCCTGTGAACACGAACTAGAAGGTGTGTAGCTAATTCCTGGTTAGCGACTCCTTGACTTAGAATATTCGGACGATATTGCCCTAATATGTGACCGCTCCCAAATATGCCAAGCAACACTGGACAGATTAGCACTGGCTGACAATCGTCTCGGGCTAGGCTTTGCTCCATCGAAATGCAAAGTACTTCTCCAAGATTGATAGGGACCTAACCCTGCACTAACGCTTAATGGTGATCTGCTAGAAGTCGTTCAGGAATTCAAGTACCTGGGCAGCTATGTTAGCCCCGTGTGATTGGACATGAGGTTACGAACCGTATAGCAAATGCTCGAGGTTCTCTTGCAAAACTTCACCACCTGTGGCGCGGAAGCAACATCACTCTCACCCAGAAGGGCAGAGCTTATAATGCAGCCGTCCGTTCAACTCTCCTATGTGGTTGTGAAACCTGGCCCATCAGGTCGTCAGACATAAGGCAGCTCGTCATATTCGATCATCACTGCCTTCGCAGCTTAGGCCATGTCTGGTGGGAGCACCGCTTGAGCAATGAGCCTGTTCGGCGTCGAGTGTTTGGTGCAGGAAGAGCGAGTGAAGCGCTCAGCACCATTATATCACGCACCAGGATCCGATGGTTGGGCTACGTGTTGTGCATGCCAGCACGCCGACTTCCGCGACGTGCAATGTTTGCCTGCTTTGAGTGCGGTTGGAAGAGGAGGAGGGGAGGCCAAGCGATGACTTGGTCTAGAGAGATAAAATCCCTCACTTCGAAGTTGGCACGGGTTGGTGCATCCCGACTGCCTGGCTGGGTTCCTAAGGACGGTGAAAACGTTTGGTTGGACACACTTGCTGCAAGGACTTGAAGCCGGCCCCAATGGAGTTTGTGTTGTGAGTTCCTTTCTCCATCCCACTTCTGCTTAGCATCCCCTTCCAATCACGATCTCACTCGTTAGACATATTAGGACTCCATTTACGGCACGATAGCCAGCTGTTAGCTCTCCGGAACGATGGGCATCCGTTACTGGGGACTCCGCAAGCGTGCCACTGTTTGTTTGCTTCTTGTCATTTGTATTGCGGCACAATAGCTGAGAAGTTTTCCACCTGAAGCTAACGTGTTTAATGATGATGTGGAGGAAGGATGGCGGCAAATGAAATCCAACACGCAGGTGCCGCCACTTCTTAAATCTAGACGACATCAAAGAGAATCCTGTAACGTGTTGGTTTGATCTCATATGAGCTCAAATGGAAGATTACCTTGGAAGTACAAAGCCACGTGTTCCCATTCTTTGTGCCCGTCCTGTCGAACAACGGACATGTCTGGTAATGTGACCGCGATGCCACTTATGTTGGGGCGTAACCGTTATAGCCATGAGGTGACGGGCCTTTAAAGCTTAATGTAGTCGCGGTTCGGAAAGTGTACTAACTAACGCTTGGGCATTAGTATGCATCCAAGGAAGCTAGTTTTAGGTCATTGGCTCTTGAGTAGGCGAACATGAAGTAGGTGAATGTGTGCCGAACGACAAGAGGCCGACGCCTACTCGTGTATTGAGTGATTTGCCAAATGTCGGTGTAAATGCAATCTGTTTTCGGTCTAACCAGCTCATGCAGTATGCAGTCCATCGATAGATTAATCAATAACCGTTAGTCGTAGTGCACAGTTCTCTGAAAAGCTGTCCTGATTCCATTGATGTGCTAGTAGTGTTGTTTCTGCTAGGTCAGCGATTGGCTGCTTTTAGTTAACTGCTGTCTTTAATCATAGTTCTGAAGGGATTGCTACGTAGTAGCTGCCAGCTGGGTATTATTTAACCGTCATCTTTTGTGACTGAACCATGCGTTTTATTGTCCTGGAGCCACCCACTTCATGGTGAGGCGACATGGGTAACCGTGTATGACGTTCCCAACATAAAGATCTTCGCCGATGTATCGCTATATTTCCAACTCCTGAGCATGAGCTCCTTCGTCGCTAGCTCGGGCAAGCCGTGAACAAAAATACCCATTCTGCCAAAGTCCGTGTAGTAGCCCGCTAGAATTATTATTCTCCTGCTGGCTTTCGCACAGTGAAGCATCCGAAGATCTGCATATCTCGCTTCCTTCCATCCGCAAGCTGTACGCTGACAAGAGCCTTGTCTCGACATCATCTAAGGATCCCACGTTTACTTCACTTAGCCGGGACTCACTGCAGTGCATTGTGTCTGCATGTCTAGTGATGCGACTTAAATTAGTCGGGCTGGCCCCAAATGCGATTCGATCATAAGGAGAATCCAACGTTCAATATAATCTTGGCATTTACAACTTAAATAGTTTTCGTTAGACTCAGGCCCATTGGCTCACATGTCAAGATAACATATAACCATCTGATCTTTGGCGATGTGGGAAGCACAGCTATGGAGACTTTTGTGAAATCTCTGCAGATTGCATCCTTCCATTGACTTGTTTTGTAGCCGTGGAGGGTGAAACTACGGAAGTCGCAATCTGAATTCATCGAGCAGCAACGGTCGAACAAGTGAATCGGTCTTCAGGAAGGTTAGATTGCGTCGTTCAATCCCAAGTGTAGTTGTTACCGATGTTCCGTTAAACGATGCATCAGGTAAGATGTTGTGGGCAGTGGGACCGAGCATGCGTCGGTCGTTCTCGATGAACAGCTGCATCGTTGTCCCCTAGATTTCTGATACTGCGAGGCTGTGAGAAGGCATCGTCATTTTTCTTGGTATTAAGGTAAGAGTTGGTGAAGACGGATGAGGTGCAACTCGTGCTATTGTCGCCTAGAGTGAATTTGTTTTCGCATTTAAACCACCTACAGTTTCGAGGACTAGAATATTTTACTTCTGTTCCATTGCTAGCACGTAGTTCACGTGTGAGCTCAGCGTATTGTTACACTTCTTTAGTTCGGTTCGATATACTCCGACACAATGTTGATTTTTACAAAACATTCCAGTCCCACTTTTAGCAGCGAGCGTATGTTTGCTTAGCACTAAATATTTCGTTTAGGGTTACAGCTTTTGTGACCATAGTGACTGAATGGCAGTAGCCTGGTTTGCAGGGTAGCAGCTCCTCACTCTATTCTGTCGTAAGTTCGCCGTCTTCGGGTCAGTGTCAGATAGCTGGCTCATCGTGCTTTCCTTATTCATCCGTGCGTCTTGCGATGTCGGGTAAGGTGCCTAGTTGAAACCATTATCGCGCCACGCAGGTTAATTGATCGTATTGAATAAAATGTGGAGCGACAAAAGCTGACGGTTGCTCCCCGAGAAATTGTTCACGAAGCTGACGTAACATACCCCAAAACCGCCACATCGTGTGCAGGAATATGACGCGTGAAAGTTTGCTAGAATGCTGGGTGACTCTTCTATGGAAAGAGTCCCAATTCCTGCATGTGCGATTGTGGCTGCTTAAACGTGAAACGTTGTCCAACGGTATAAATCTGGTAGAAACAAACTCTGCAGGAACTAGTCCCACGAGAATGCTTTCAGCAGACGGGCTCGTTACACCATGACGAAGAAGTACAAACCAAGCGAGAGGCTAAAGAATGTAAAGGAGAAACTGCGAGAAAAGTTGGGGCAGAATATGGAACAACCGTCAGTGAAGTAAGAACTGTCACAATCTACCCTGTTTTAACGGTGTGTCTAAATGAGGAAATGACATAGGAACCGTGATCTGACTAGAATGCCTTGTAGGCAAATAAGGAGCGTGTTTTTGCGTAAATCTCATTTTGCTTCTATAACAGACAACCGTTATTTTCATTCCTTTTTCAGGTACATCGACTACCAGTGAGTCAATTGCCTGATTTATGTAAAAGTAGAAATTAACATATATGCATCTGATTGCAGCGCATCATTTACCGACATTTGTCTTGTATCGGTTTTGGCGACCAGAACTCGTTAATGATTGATATGTACACACCAATTTTACGCTCAAAAGAGCGCTGCATGCAACACCTTAGCGTAGGCTTCATATGCAATGTTAACTGATTGTTCTACACCCTTACGATTGATGCACCTTCAGAGTATCCTCATGTCCATGGTGTAACTTAATGTCTCGTCGTCCTCTTACGAATCTTGGTACCATATATTCTTAACTGTGCTGCATATAGCTTTCTTATCTTGGTGCTCTTGTGAATTCTAGTATAGCTCAGCGTTAGCATACCGTCATCCATGGACAATTAGAGACTACTCTGGTTCCTTGCAGCCACTTTGATTCACATGGGCATTATGTCCCCGACCATGCCAATCATCCATCCGACTCATATATCCGCATTTCTGTATGCATGGGTGATGCTTATTGGGGCTGAGATGGATTCCGTTTTCCAGGTCACTAGATGACTTGCAATCACCACAGCTGTGCGGAGTGGACTTAACATGTGTTGTTGAACTCGTTCGATTTTCTGAGATGCGCGTTGGATTTCCTCGCCCTCACACATTTGAGTGAAGGTCAAGTAATACCAAACAGAAGCCGCATAATGCACGGTCAGTTGAAGAAATTAGAACCAAACTAAGGGATCAATAAATTAATTAATGTTGGAGGTTTGTGAGTAGGGTAAAGTTTGTAGAAAGTAGAAGTCACGCGTTAAAATTTGCGCACCTAATCATCAGCCCTCGGTAGCTCAGGTGGTAGAGCAGCGGACCGGAAATTCGTGGACCGGGGTTCGACTACCAGTCGAGGCATATTCTTGTGCGTGAATTTTAATCGTGACTTCTACTTTCCACAATAAATTAATTAGATGAATTGTTCGCAGCTGATTATTTTGCGATGACCATACATTTGGATAACATCATAATCAGTGTTGCACGACTCAGCAAATCAGAGCACGCACCTGCGTACTCTCCATTTTTCACACGTGCGGACTCACTTAACTGTGGAAGCTCAGTTTTCTGCATGATCTGTTTACGAGTTTACACGGTACAATGGACAATGAATTTATACGACTTAAGAAGCGTTACTTTACAAGTCCCGTTGGATGGTTGGTTGGGATATCAAAATAACAATAATGATAATAAGGATAGTGAAATAGTTAATACTTTTAATTTGGAAATAGAGACTTATCGTTTGCTTCGCTGTAGTCCTGCGATCCTCCTAGATTCACAGCACCCACAGTTAACAACAAATAATTCCATGGTAAACTCCAGGTGTAGGATGGAGACGTAGTGTTAAGTAACAAAGTGTACTTGGATGAGTGTGTCGTCCAACTGTCTTTTAAATACTGTTAGTGTCGGTGCAGAGAAGACCGATTCTGGCAGAGCATTCCACGGGTGAAAGACACGAACGGAAAAGAAATTGCTGCGGCATTCCAGACGACTGTATTGTTCTGCGTGTTTTGATGAGTGGCCCCTCAGGTTTGTATTGCTGCTGAGTTGCAGTAAAAAGCGGCACACATGATGTGGGTCTCGCAGAATCAAGTATGCCATAATCAGATCGCCTCGTAGTCGGTGATAGCTTCCACAGAACAATCGCAGTCGTTGCAGCCTCTCCTGATAGGAAAGATTGCGCATTCAAATTACGTTCGTACATGCCCGGCGTTGTGGCTGCTCCAGTGCATTAAGGTCGTGTTTCAGCCATGGATGCCAGGCTTGAATTGCATATTCGACATGGGGGCGAACATACGCACTGAGCATTTGTCGAAATATGGAGCTGTTTATTTGTCCAAACGCCCGTCGGAACAGCCCGACGTGTTGGTTCCCGGTCTTCGAGGCCTTTTCGGATTATCTGGAGCAACGCAAGTCATTTTGAACCAGGACACCCAAGTCACGTTCGAGAGTTGATTGTTGCAGTACATCCGTTCCGAGTCGGTATGAGTAGCTGTTCTGATGTCGTGTAGATAGCACCTTGCATTTACTGACGTTGAAATGCAATAAGTTTTGCGTCCACCATTGATACTCTGTGTCTAAGTCACTCTAAAACAGATGATGCTCGGCGTTCGCCTTGATCCTGCGCCAGATCTTGATATCGTCGGCAAACATTAGGAAGTTTGAAGCGATTCCCTGTGCAAGGTCATTAATAAACACCAAAAGCAAACGTGGACCTAGAACTGAGCCTTACGGTACACCACACGGAACTTGTATGGGTTCCGATAAAGAGCTCCGAACTCTGACCACTAATTGTCGTTGATGTAGAAAGTTGGCGATGCAGCTTAAAGGAGGGTTTCCGATCCCGTAATGCTGCAGATTGGATAGTAGTATCCGATGGTCTAGACGATCGAAAGCCTTGGAAAATACAGGTAGATCACATCAACACCTTCGCCAGCGTCAGCTGCCTAGGTCCAACTACTGAGTGCAATTAGTAAATTAGTTGCACATGACCGCTGTCGACGGAAACCATGCTGTCCACAAGTGATGAGGTTGCAGTTTTCCAGATAGCACACCAGTTTATCGGCAACTATGGATTCCATGACCTTGGGGAGTATAGGAAGAAGGGTTACTAGGCGGTAGTTTGAGGGATCAGTTCTGCTTCCACCTTTGTGAATGGGGGTTATTATTCTAAGCTTCCACATGGCGGGAACTTGGTTCTGGTCTAAGCAGTGATGGAAAAACTGAGCTAAAGTTCCTGCCAGTTGGTTTGCTGCTGCTCCCAATGCCTCTGGACGAATGATCTCGACACCCGGCGAGCTGTGTTTGCGTAGAGAAGTCAACTTTTGCAATACAGCCTCTGCGGTGAAAGTGATGTGGGTTAGTTCTGGCGAGCAGAAGACAAAGCTTGGTAGATCGCATGGTGGCAAGACTCTTTGAAACGTGAGGGCATATTGCATCTGCAGCGCGTTTGCTGCTTCCACCGTCGTTCTGGTTGGGCCATCAGCCATCTTGAGTGGAGGAAATCCTTGCCTAACTTTTCGTAGGCTATTAACGTGCTTGTACAGCAGTTTATGGTTAGCGCTGAAGGTTTTTGCGATGTTCTGCTGATAGGCGGTTTCGTCTTCTCTTAACAGTTGAGTGCATTGGTTACGTTGCGCTACGCAGTTTTCCCAGGTTTCTGGTGCTGGAGCTTCTCTGTACACTCGCCATGCTGCGTTGCGTGCTGTCATCCATTTTCGATTTCTGCTCCTAACGAAAGAAACGGCTTTGTACTTATTGCAAGCTTCCATCTCTGAAGCCTGTGCAATCAGCTGACTGAAATTTTTGACGAACTCCAGCCAGGCGACTTCCGGGGGTTCTTCTTCGAGGAAAGACCATGTAGTGGCGCTGACTATCTGGGCGATTCGGTCGTACTTTGTGATGGTTCGCACAGTCTCTTCTTATCATTCAGATATTCTGCATAGCAGACGAAGTTGAAACTGATGACTGCGTCATCATTGCGACCTAACGGGCAGTCTAAAACCAACGCATCAATCATATGCTCCTCGTTGGTAAGCACAAGGTCCAGCACAGATGGCCTATCACCAGTTCAGAACCGAGTAGGCAAAGTGATGTGGTTGTAAAGAGGAACAGTAGTTACTAGATCTTGTAAAGTGGTTTTGAATTGTTCTCCGATCGTGGCAGGGGCTTCTAAACAATGTACGTTGAAATCACCCATGATAACAATGTGAGTGTACTTTGTAGTAAACTGCATCTTAAAGCAGCCGCTAGGTGGTATTCGGTTTCGGGTGTTGAGTTAGGGGCGCGGTACACCAAAGGGAGTCGGGGAACTGCGAGTCTGAATGCTCCACGGCTTCGCACTGTAAGTCATTTCGGTAATACAGGATTACCCCTCCTCCTTTTGTGAGCCTGTCGTTCCGGATCAGCGACATGCCGGGTAGCGAAACTTCAGCGTCCGTCATTCCGGTGTGCAAACCATGTCTCGGTGATACCAATGACATCATACGAGCCCGAAGCTTGGCAATCATTCAGTTCCGCCAGTTTGTTAGAAAGACCCTGGGCAATCTTATAAAAAAGCAGGCCAGTTTCTCGGTCTCTAGGAGTCCGCAGAGAAGTGAAGCTGTCAAGTGTGGGAGAATGCCGACCGATGAGAGGTCGGCAGTTACTCGTTTTTATGTGTCAATGATGCCTCGTTTGCAACTTGATTCGGCCAAGGCGCGTCCCAACCTCCGTTTAGACCTACGTCAGAGTCAATTAAAGCAGCAGTCAAGTTACGCTTTTGTACATTCGCCAGAATGCTTGCTGCTTCAGTTGCTGTAATATTTGAGGTGTGCAAAGTGTTTGCGACCTTTAACCGAATTTCCGAAGGAAGATCTTTCCGAATTCTCCGCCATCGATCCAGAACATCCTTCGCTTGTTGCTCTGACTGAACCACAAATTTTAGGATTCTGGAGCCGTATCCTCCATACTTTAGTGAGAGATGTATCCTGGTGAGCGATAATTCCACAACCTTGTCCAAAGTAAGTGTTTCGCGAATGAATCGCCACTGTTCTAAATCGTGCTTTCCGGACTCTTGAACATCGTTAGAAAGATGTTCTGGCACGCCATGTATGAAGATAGGGTTTAGGCGGTCTTGCTTGCTGTGCCCCTCTTCGGTGTTTTGTCTTGGTTGTCGCGCTTTCCAAAAGACATCAGGATAGATACGTATCCCACAGGATTCGGATTGTAGTGCGCTGCGGAGAGTAAGACTTTTTCTACGTAGGTGGAGGATGCTAGTAGCGATATACTCTTTCCGAATCGTTTCAATGGTCAACATAATGTTGCGCAAGCATTTGGAGGACTAGAACTTCGAAAGTCTACCGTGTGGAAACTGAAACTTGAACTCGAATTTACCAACCAAACTGGAAACTACTCGTCCGTTTTAAGCTCTGTCGTTCATCCATCCAGGATTTTGCTAGGTTCGCATTCTAAGTTGCCTCATCGCA